TTGTTGACGGAAGTCTGCAAGCGGGGAGATTAGCGATGGGGGAGATCAGTAAGAAGTCGGGAGTGTTGTTCCTTTCCTCTACCTGCTGCATAGATTACCCATGTGCCTTCAAGGTGCCTTGAGATCTGGGCGGGACATTCCTCCACCTAACAGCTTTCACTGGGATTCATCCGCACTCACCACTTACAGCGGCACAAAGAACAAAGGAATCGCAGCACCGTGACTGGCGGCAGATCAATTCATCCCCGTCCGTCAGCAGGAGGGACTGCAGAAGCAGGAAAGGGACTGTGATTGGAATACAGACACTATTGCAGAGGAGAAGAGTTGACAAGCTTGGTTCAGGCACTTCAGCCCCTTGGTCAACATCAGGCTGTGACTCATAACGGTGAGACCTTAGGACCCCCATTTCCTCCCAGGGCACATCCAGGAAGGCCCTGCAGGCTGGGCAACCCCTCCCTGGGCTGATGTTCAAATACCCGATCTAGGGGCAAAGGTGGCATAGTGGTTATGGTTTGGACTGCTAACCTCAAGGTCAGCAGTTCGAAACCACCAGCCGCTCCTCAGGAGAAAGCCGGGCTTCCTGCTCCCATAAAGAGTTACCGTCTCAGAAACCCACAGAGATCGCTCCACTCTGTCCTCCAGGGTTCCGATAAGCCAGCACCCACTCGGTGGCAGTGTGTTTGGCTTTGAGCTTGTCTGAGTGCAAAGCTTGCCCCCCTGTTGGTCAGTGGTCTGAAAGAACTCCATGGAGGCTGGATCTCCCTCCGAGAAAGCCAGGCTCGACATGGATTGAGCCTTCCCGCTGAGACTGACTCAGTGTCAGGCTGACTCTAATACCCAACATCAAGCATTCAGTAAACGCATGGAACAAAGACACTCGATTCATTAAAAGAATCAAAGTTTAATAAGGCAAGCAGGGGGAAATTGGAGCTCTGCTTTCTGCCCAATATTTCTGTGAGCCTAAAACAGCTTTAAAAACCGTCCATTGAAAACATAAAATGATTTCTGGAGGCTAGGTGAACCCCTGAAACTCTTGCTTTGAGACCATCTTTGAACGTTCACCAACCCAAATGGTCCCGCTCACTGAGAAGAGAAGGTGTGCCATGAGCAGCATGCTCGCTCTCGACCATTGCACGGGATCGCATTGACAGCAGCCACCGGGAAGGGGACAGCAAGTCCCTGTCCGTGAAAAGAGGGGGTGAGGAGGTCGCGCCCCTGGAGGGGCGTCGTACAGGTAGAAGCTGTCGAACTGGCATGTGCTCTGTTGTGTGTCGTCTCGACAACAAGAACACGTGATTTTAAAAAACAAAACAGGAAGGTCTTCCGCCTTATTCAAAAGGATGAGCCCTGACGAGGGAAATTCGGAGCCCGCTCGGAGCATCTCTCAGAACTGGCACCCTGGGGTCTTCTTCCTTCTAGAGCGGAAGGAAAACAAGTCTTGCCCACAGCTCCTCGAGCCTGTGCGCTTGTCCTTCTGGGAAGAAGAGGACACCTAAGGACCCCTTGGTGCCAACAAAGAGGAAAACGCCTCCCTTGGGAACACTGGGGCACCGCTGTTGGGTGCCAGCATGGCCAGACTTTTCATCAAAGCATCAGACTAGTAACAGTGCTCTCTCTCTGCCCTTGAGGGTGTTCATAATGAGCCCCAGAAGGGTCTGGGTTGCATCACCATGAGCATCTGTCTTGGATCTCTTTATATCCAACTCAGGAATTCTGGTTGGGTAGATCTGTAGGCTCAACATCCCCTCCTGGCTGTCTGAGCTCAGAGGTTGTGCTATAAACACGGGGACATGAAAAAGAAAGGGGTGGCAGCCACAGGATATCACTGTGTTGCTGCTGGTGGGATCGAATCAGAAAGCACGCCCACCCCCCTTCCAGGCAGGTGGGTCCAACATCCCCGGCAGCAAGCCTGTGCTTTTCTGGGTAGAGAGGAAAGGGCAGTGAATCTAATTGGGCTGCCTGGTGGCCCCAGCATTGGGTACTGAAGGCAGGCAGATTCTATGGGGAGCCAAAAACACCACTTGTTTCATAACCCCTTACTGATTGCCTACTAAGTGCCAAGCCTTAGATGCCTTTCTGGAAATAAGAGGCTTCAGAAATGAAGACTACAGTCTTTCATGTGCTTATAGTGCAGTGACTGGAGCGGATCTGGCTTGACATAGCCCCTAAAGCACCAGTGTCCCACATGGGTCTCATTTGCATGTGGACTCCCTCAGCAATCAGGGGGACAGCAGCATGGAAGCTTATGACAGCCAAGCTCTGAAGACCACAAGCCAGGAGCCAGGGGGCAGGCACACCGAGAGCGCTGCGCCAAACAGAGATGCTGGACGCTGTTGATGACTGCCTGTGCGTCTGCTCCTGCTCCTGGTGACCCTGTGTGTAACCGGAGTGCCGCCTGGTCCTGTGTCCCCTTGGCAATCGGTGGGATTCTCCAGTCCATTGTGGGGGCCACCATGTGTTTTGAGTGCCTCCAAGACTAGGGGACTCATTTCTAGACCTTCTATGCGATACTACTCTGTTGTGCTTAATAGGATTCCCATTGACTAATTTTTGGACGTAGATCACCAGGTTTTCCTTTCTAGACTGTCTTTGTTTGGAAGCTCCACTGAGACCTGCCCGTGATTGGGTGCCCTTACTGGCATTTGAAATACCAGCAGCATAACTTCCAGTATCAAAGCAACATGCAAGCCACCCAAATACCCCAAACTGGAGGCCAGTGGTGGGACACGGAGGCTAGAGCGTCTGAGTAGGAGATGGTTCCTGGAACTGCACCACCTGACCTGTCCCAATCACCTCCTCTTTCCAACCCCCTGCCCTCCCATTCTGAAAGAGGGCAGCTGCTTTAGAACTCTTCAACAGACTCGTTTGGATGTGTCCCCAGGTTCCAGCAGCCTGGGCCATCGTCATTAGTTGGGCTCTGTCACAGTAAAGCCCAGCCAGAGAGCAAGGTGGTCCTCACTTCACCATCCCCTCCACTCCAGCAGTCCTCCAGGTATAGGGACCCCTGGGGGCTTTAGGAGCCATGTAGACCAAGGTTAAAATGCTCGTTTTACCACTTATCAGCGAGTCACTCTGCATCCCTGAGCCCCGAAATCCAGTGCCTGAGAGCCCATCAATAAGCCACCTCTTTTATCGCAAGCCATTGGTAAAGGCCCACTGATTGTGGCTCATCCTTTTTCCAAGTCTACTGACAGTGGAGTCTCTGATACAGATGCTCAGCCTCAGACACCCAGCCGGCAGCTCTAACTCTGAGCTATAGGGTCACTGTGAGTCAGAATCAACTCACTGTCCGCGAGCATACAGGAAGGTTTCATACAACCTATAGAAGTAACCAGAAGGCCAGCTCCCTTGATGCGCCTACATTCTTCAGCTCTGAGTCACTGGAGGGTGTTTCAAAAAGCAAGGGCTCTTTCTCTGATGTTGGCATGAGTCAATCTGTGGAGGAGACCGCATCTGAGACCCATGCATTCATCTAACTCTGCGTGTCTCCACATAACCCAAGTGCTAAGGCTCACAACGGTTTCCCTCCAGCTCTTGAGCAGCAAATGCAGGCTCCCATGCCCAATCGCCTGCATGCGTCACCACTGGAATGCCCAACAGCCGTCTCTCTCTTAGCAACCAAAGCATAACTTTGGTTTTCTAGCCATAATATGGGTTCTTCTCACCAGTTTCCCCCGTCTCAGAAAGTGGTGCTACCACCCACCCAGTTGCTCAAACCCCAAATCCAGACATTATCTTTGATGTTCCCTGCCTCCCTATACACAGGGAGCCCTGGGGGTGCGGTGCTTACGTGTGGAGCTTCTAACTGCCAGGTCAGCAGTTCGAAACCACCAGCTGTTCAGTGGGAGAGACATGAGACGCTCTACTCCTATAAAGAGTTCCAGTCTCAGGAACCCATAGGGGTAGTTGTACCCTGTGCACAGCTCCAGGGCAGTATTGAGTGAGCTTACCGCCCTGTCGCTGCTCCAGGTGTAAGACCCGCTCCTTCTGGCCCTCGGTCACTGTGCTAGCCCCAGCCACCACTCTCGCCATAAGGTTGGGCAAGAGGGCCCCGTGGTCCATAAAGAAGTTCACCTCAAGGGCTTTTAAAATGTCGACCAGATCTCATCACGCCTTGGGCTTAAAACATGTTGCTTTTCAAGCATTCAGAATAGAATAAAACCCAAGTTTCTCCATCACCTAAAAGCCCCTTCACAATCCAGCTTCTTTCCCACCTCATCTTTCCCTCGCTCAGGGGCTCAACAGTTGTGGGTTTTGCAGTAACAATCTCTACCTTGTCCTGAGCACCAGCCACCTACTCAGCCAGGGGCTTCACACACACTGCTTCGTATCATCCTGGCTACAGCGGAGCCAAGGCCCGTGGACTCTCAGGATCGCTGTGAAGCTGGAGTGACAGTGCACGTGGCTAGTGCACAGTAGGTGCCCAATAAATGGTAGATTCCCTTCTCTCCCATTGCTTCCCACGGGGGGAGGGAAACCTGTATCCCAGAGAAGTCTACAGTGGCCAGGGATAGAACCAGAGACAGAGTGAGCGGTCCTGTGTCCACAAATCCAACTGCATGCCTCCAGGGACAGGCACTAGCTGAGAGGGGTGAGTGTTAGCTCTCTCAAGAACTCTGGGGTTGCTGAAGGAGTTAAGATGCCTCTTCCCAAACCCTGGCCCTCCCCATCCCTGCATCCTCCCTTGTGGGTTTAATGAGAAACCCAGGAGCCTCCTAAGAGACTGAGCAAATAACTTCTGGGATGCCACTAACTCGTTCAGCAGAGAATTGGGAGCTGCCAATGCTTCGAGAAAGATAAGTAAAGATGTATATGTATATGTAGCATCAGGCGGACAGGAAGATTTTGAGCGGTGAGTTTGAGCCCCGCCCCTGCAGCAGAGCTGAAAAAAGCCAGGATCCGGGTTCCTCGGCCCCTCTCTTCACAATATTTGATTAGGAATTTGGGGGCGGGACCCTGGCCTGGCATAGACGCGCACACTCTCAGTAGACACAGGCTCGCACTCCTCTCTCTCTCTCTCTCTCTCAAAAGCTCTCCAACCCCAAGAGGCCCAGCAGAGGAAGGTGGTCACTCTCTGAAAGGTTCCACTCGAGGTAAGTGTAGTCATTTTCCTCCCGTTTGTGCCCCTGGAGGTTCCACGAAGGAAGGCCGGGGCGGGCTGGAGAACAGAAGCAGACAGGCAGAAGCCCTTTTCCTGCTCCCCCTGTGATCCCTGGGATGCTGGAGAGAGGCAGAGGGAGAGGACCAGGGAGGAGTTCCACATCCCCCTCTCCTCCATGGCTGTTTCATGGCCGCAGGCGAGAACCTCCGGCTCCCGGATAGGAGGCAGTGCAGTGCAGGACCAGCTACTGACACAGGCCAGCCCCCCTGCTCCTACCACCCCCACAGGTGTCGCTCCGATGAGACTGCAGTTGGCTTGTGGGTGGTTGTGGGACCTAAATCCTTGGGTGGGGTGTGTGTGTGTGTGTGTGTGTGTGTGTGTGTGTGTGTGTGTGTGTTTTGCTGGGATGCAAGGGAGGGAACCAGGAAGCATGCTGACAAATTGATCTTGTCCAGGGAGCTGGGGATGGTGTGGCAGGAGCTAGGGGTTCTAATCAGGGTAAAGGATGGTGTCTGGTTTGATGTCCTGGCTCTCGTGGGAGGGGGAGACCTCTGTCTGGAGTCAAAGAGAATACATCTTGAGTAAGTGCCCCCCTCCACGCCCAACTCATAGAGCATCCATCCTGAAAACTCAATTTACAAAACTCGGAACACAGGAGGGTCCAGGCATGGAGGAGGGAGGGGGCATTTCAGGCTAGTCCTGAAGTGACATGGCTAAGGGGTGGGGGTGGGGTGACCAGCAAACCCTTTCGGCAGGCATGGGCCCTGAGGGGAGGCTAAAGTGGGCAGGGCACACAGGCCCTTGGAAAGCTGTGCTTGAAGAGGAAAGTGGCTGGAGTCTGCCAAAGTGCCCAGTCTGGAAGAAGGAGAAATTGAGACAGAGGCTCACTGTGCCAGTCCACCAAACAGCCACCTTGGTCCTGCACAGCCCGGGCTAGGCATGGAAAAATGTGCTGTTGGCAGGGGCCACTCCATCCATCTTCTCTCCTGGCCAGAGGTGGAGTAGCTGCCAGCAGGCCCAGGCAGTGGGCAGTTGGGTCCGCTCCTCTGAAGCACTGTGGGCTCTTTGTCTGAGGATGCGCCCAAGTGGGTACCTGCCCCTCTGCAGTCCAGGGGCATGAAGCAGGTCTAAAGGGAAGTGCTTCCAGGAGGTGGAAAGGTCTGGGAGGGAGGGAGGGCGGCCAGAGGGTGAGTCAGTGGAGTGTCACAGGCCAGGGCCTTTCCCATCAGTTCCTTGAATTTGACGTTGGATGCTATACTCCTTTCTTTCTCCTGCCCAGGGCTGCCCACCCAGCAAGGCTCAAGAGCAGGGTGAGGGGTATAGCTGACCTCCAGGACCTACACATCTCTTGAGGTTTCCCTGCCCATGGGGAGCATGCCTACCTCTAGGAGGTGCTCACTGTCCACCAGGGTCAATAGGACGCAGGCTGTGCAGCATCCAGGTGGGGTGTGCAGTCCCGAGAAGGCCACGCCTGGCCCCCCCCTTCCCTCCATACCTCACACAGATGACAGCAGACCCCACATTTCTCTCTGACCCTCTCCTTTCTCGTCTCTCATGGCAAACTCAAGGCAACAGACTGCCCACCAGTGTGGGGGCGCCCAGGAAGCCTGGAGATCCAGCTATCCGGACTTGGGGAAGGGGGCTCCCAGTGGGAGGGAAGGCGCCTGAATCCCATCCTCAGCCCCTTTTCCTTAGGCCTTCCTGGGGGTCCTTGTTCCCCCATGGCCATGCACCTCCTTTCTCCCTCTTGGCCGCATGCGGCTCTTGGAGACTATGGGGGTCCAGCAGGAGGACTGCTCAAACTTCCCTGGACCCCATAGAAGGCAGAGGCGTGGAAGCCCCTGTGCCAGCCAAACTGCGAACCAGCTCGAGGCTTCTCGCCCAGCAAGCGTTACAGACGGTGGCACGGCAGTGAGGCCCCCGAATCCTGTGGTGGCTGTAGGGTGACCGCACACACACACCCCCCAAAGACGGAAAACCAAAAAACCCCCAGGCTGCCCACAAGACCAAAAGACCTGCCAGAAATCGTTCAGCTCAGCTTTAAGGTAGCAAGGGCGTCTTGGATGGAGGTTGCCCAGAGGTACAGACAGTCAGAGGGCTTGCTCCCTCCCACTGCTGAAAATATCCCTTCCCCGAGGAGTGCAACTGGTTGTGAAGTTAGCACTCCCTTCGTCCCCCACCCCCGAGATTGTTGCGGGCTTCCCCAGCGGCCCCTGTGGATCTGCCCCTCCAAGAAAAATCCCCTGAAGCCCCTCCATAGGTCAAGTTCTTTTTGGTCTGCTTCGGCTTCTGTGACTCTCCGACCAGGGGAAATTGCCTTGGTTACCCCGAGCTGACCCCGGAGAGCGAGATCCGGCTGGACCACAGGCGCAGAGCCATGCAGGGGAAGGGGCGTCAGCAGCTGGGCGGGAAGGTTCCTGCTGTCAGGTGCTGGACACTCCAGTCAGATAGGCCCGCTCACAATCAGAACCTCAGGCTTGCCTGCTCTGCCCCACGGCCTCCCGAGAGAAAGCCTCGCTCAAGCCAGCTTGCCTCTTCTCTCTCCCTTCCTGCAGAGAGGCAACATGCAGCAGGCCTCCCTCCTGCTGCTGCTGCTGCTGGCGGGGCTCTGCGCCCTCTCGCGTGCCCAGTACGATGAAGACCCCCACTGGTGGTTCCACTACCTCCGAAGCCAGCAGTCCACCTCCTATGACCCCTACGATCCTTACCCTTATGAGCCTTATCCCTACGGGGTGGACGAAGACCCAGGTTATGCCTACGGCTCCCCGCTGGCCCCCGAGCCCCGCGACTGCCCCCAGGAGTGCGACTGCCCCCCCAACTTCCCCACCGCCATGTACTGCGACAACCGCAACCTCAAGTACCTGCCCTTCGTCCCCTCCCGCATGAAGTACGTCTACTTCCAGAACAACCAGATAGCCGCCATCCAGGAGAGCGTGTTCGACAACGCCACCGGGCTGCTGTGGATCGCGCTGCACGGCAACCAGATCACCAGCGAGAAGGTGGGCCGGAAGGTCTTCTCGAAGCTGAGGCACCTGGAGCGGCTCTACCTGGACCACAACAACCTGACCCGGGTGCCGGGCCCCCTGCCCCGGTCCCTGAGGGAGCTCCACCTGGAGCACAACCAGATCTCCCGGGTGCCCGGCAACGCGCTGGAGGGGCTGGAGAACCTCACAGCCTTGTACCTGCACCACAACGAGATCCAGGAGGTGGGCAGCACCCTGAGGGGCCTCCGGTCTCTGATCCTGCTGGACCTGAGCTACAACCACCTGCGCAGGGTGCCCGACGGGCTGCCCGCAGCCCTGGAGCAGCTCTACCTGGAGCACAACAACGTCTACAGCATGCCCGACAGCTACTTCCGGGGCTCGCCCAAGCTGCTCTACGTGAGGCTGTCGCACAACAGCCTGACCAACAACGGGCTGGCCTCCAACGCCTTCAACGCCAGCAGCCTCCTGGAGCTGGACCTCTCCTACAACCAGCTGCAGAAGATCCCCCCGGTCAGCACGAACTTGGAGAACCTCTACCTCCAAGGCAACAGGATCAATGGTGAGACCCTGCCCCGAGGGCAAGGGAGGGGCTGGCCCTGCTCAGAATGCCAAGGGGCCCAGGTGGTGCAGTGGACTAGGCATTGGGCTGGTAACTGAAAGGTCGGTGGTTCGAACCCACCAACTACCTCGAGGGAGAAAGATGAGGCTGTCTGTTTCCATAAAGATTTTCCAGCCTCGGGACACCGAGGGAGCAATTTTACTGTGGCTAGGGCCACAGTGAGTCCGTCCGAATCGATTTGGTGTGGGAGAAGACTTCCCAGGAGGGCTGAGTTTCAATCTAGGACTTAACTGACAAATGGGCATGGATTGGAGGCAAACAGGGCAAAGGCTTTCTGCTGTCAGTCATGTCAGTCAGTCAGTCAACAGGTCCCTGATAGGGGGCAGCCAGGAGGCACGTGTGTCTGAAGAGAAGGGATCACATGTGCAGGGGCAGTGAAAGAGGAGTTTAAAGAAGCTTGGGAACTCAAAATCAACTCGCTGCCATCAAATAGATACCAACTCACAGTGACCTTACAGGGCAGGGCAGACTCTCCTGCAGCTAACTGTCAGCCTTTCTCCCACAGAGAGCTGGTGGTTTACCCCTGCTGACCTCCTGGTGGTGGGGCCCTGGCCACCACAGAGCGGTGATGGGGGTGGGGGGGGATCGCACTGGACTTTTGATGTCCTGAGCACGTCCCTGTAAATTCCCTGGTGTTGCTGTGGGCCAAGGGTTGAGCTACTAGCACAAGATCCGTGGTTCAAAACCCAACAGCCACTCTGCAGGAGAATGTGGAGGCTATGTGCTCCCCTAAAGACGTATCGTCTCCGCACTCCTTGTAGGGTCACTGTGAGTCAGAACCTCTTGGCCGCAGGGGGCTTGGGGTCTATTTGTTTGTTCATTTTTTTCCACCCTCTGTAAATGCCTTAAAAGAACCAAAACGACTTCCTCTCTGCCTCAAAGAACTCAAATACTCTTTTCAGATGGAATTCTCCTACTTGCTTTTGAGCTCTCTCTCCCAGGAAGGGCTCTCGTTTTCAGAGGGCAGGGACATCCGAGACCCCGGAAGTGGCCTCCATGCTCGGGGTCTCGGATGTCCCTGCCCCAGCTGGGAGGTAGTTACCTGGCATTTAAGCTCCTTTATCTGTCTGGCAGCAAAGCCCTCCCTCTGGGGCAGGTAGGACTCATTTTCATCCACCAGCCAGAGGGTTTGAAGCAGAGCCTGCTGGGAATGAGCAGCAGTTCAAGAGGAGGAGTCATCATCCTCCCTTGATCCATCCTCTCTCTCCCAGGGTTCAGAGCACATCACTCACTTAACAAAATGTTGACGACTGGACAGCCCTCCCCAGGGAAGGACACTGATCCCAGAAGGCAAAACAGGAGGTCCCTAGGCATCCAGTCTGGTCCTCCAGCTGGAAGTCTGAAGACCCTCCTCGTACCGTCCGGGCGGGTTTTATTCCAAGTTACTCTTTCTTTGGGGTCTTCGACATCCTGAGCTTTGTTTTTGCTTTCTCGCCGTCTCCTCTAAGATATTCCTAGAATGCTGCATGCCCCAGAGGGTTAGCTAGCTATTCACGGCTGCCTGCCATCCCCTAGAAGTCACCACTCCTCCTCTGCTACCCACTCCAGTGTCGGGAGGACTGTCCCCTGGGCAGGTCACCGGGTATGCCATGCTTCATCCAAGTCTGACCCTGAAACGCGACCATAAGGAGCAGCTGTCTCGGGAGAGGACACGTAGTTACGGCTTGCACTGCACTTGGAGGAACGTGGGGTGGGGGAGGCATCGCTGCAGCATCTCGTCACCCCTCGGCCTCCATGCAGAGCAGGCCCTCCGGCCGCTCAGCTACCAGGCGGTCTGTCCCTCCCGACAGCTCTTCCGAAAGTGACAGGACTTGAGTGACGTGTCCTGGCAGGTTGCAAGAAAGACGGAACCAGACCCTCTACCTTGGAGTCGATGCTGCCTCACGGGGACCCTGCAGGACAGGGTAGGGTGGCTCCACAGGGCTTTGGAAACAAATTCTTGGCGGGAGTGGCTGGTGAGTTTCAACCAGTCTGGCTGGTGAGTTTCAACCAGTCTTTGTGGTTAGCCGCCCATGCAGAGCAACCTAAACATGTCCACAAATGCCTTCTTCTAGCGTGTAAACCAAATCCTCTTTGTTTGCTTGTCATTTTCTCCTCCTCCTCCTCCTCCTCCTCCTCCTCCTCCTCCTCCTTCTTCGGCAAAGTAATACCACCTCCTTATCGTCCCGAAACGAGTGAATTCATGTGTGGCAAGTGCTTGGCCTGACACATCATGACATGCAACCTATTAGAATGAATGGCTTCTTCTTCTTCTCTCTCTCTCATTGCCACTTTGAAGTCGACAGGGAGCATGCTTTGCATTGAGAAAAGGGGGACAGCAAGGCTCAGAGCTGGTGTGACACCGAACCCATCCTACAACTGGAAGGGAACCCCGGTGAGGGGTTCTCTTGGTTAACGCGCTCAGCCGCCTCCCAAGAGTCTGGAGGTTGGAATACACCTAGAGGTGCCATGGAAGAAACGCCTGATGATCCATTTCGCGCGCGCGCACACACACACAGCACAACCAATGGAGACTCCACAAGCACAGTTCTACTCTGACACCCAGGAGGTCACCATAAGCCAGAGTTAACTTCACAGCAACTGGTAGAACGGACATCCCTGGCTGGGAATGGTGAGCAACAGAGCTCTTTGATTTAGACCACCAGCAAAATCACACAGCACCCCAAGCTCAGCCTGTCGGGCGAGCCGAGAGGAGCGGGAGGTGGGATTGAGGCAGCTCTGTAAAGGACAAGTTAGCCGAGGAGCAGGAACCCAGGGGCATAGCGGGGCCGAGGTATGCGCCTCTCCCTCCTCCTTCCTTTGCCACCAGTGTCTCCCTCAGTTTTTCCAGCCTGGCAACAGCAAGGGAACAACACTGCTCGGAATGTTATTCTGAAGCTTTGGGACCCGTTGGAGCCGGGCGGGTGCGCTAGGAGGAATTTGGAAAGATTTATGTCAGTATTTAATCTGAGCTGGAAAATATTCTCCAGCGCTTCCAAACAGAAGCCCGGTCCTACTCGCCAGCCGGAGCAGACAGGCAGGAGCTCTCAGAGCCTGCGTGCGATGGGATCCAGCCACCCAGGGTAGCTAGCTGCCCACAAGGAGCCCCTATGGGGTCCGTGTGTCTATACATAGTTGGGATCCAGGGTTTCAGCAGACAGCCTCCGAATAGGGATAGACAATTTACCACTGAACTTCTAGTTCGGTCTGAAGTAGGGTTGGAAGCAAAAGGCTAGCTGGACCACTTCATGTCTTGTCGGAGATTCCATAGACCCAGGCCCTGCCCTCAGCTCGGCCCCAGCTGCCCCACTGAGAAACCACTTGCCTTTCCTCCCTGTGGCCAGGAGGGAAACACCCAGATCATTGCAGATCTTCGCTCCAGAGAGTGCTGCTTCCCGGTCTGCCCCGCTCTTTCCCACAGCCACTGATGCTCGGCCGCGGTACTCCATCCTCTGCTTGAGTACAAGCAAGGTGTGGCAACTTCACCCCATCTCAGAGTCTCCGTGACCCTTTCCTGAGCCTGAGAGGAGAACTGTCTGTCCCCTTTGGGTTTCTGAGATTGCAATCACTTGAACTCACCCTTATTTAAATGTTTTGCTTTCAGAATAAGCTATGCTCCTTCCACAGGTCATTTCTTATCATCCAATGTGAGCTCCCCTGGCTATTTTCCTTGGAATCTTTGTTTTCGTGACCGTCACGTCCCACAAGTGCTCCCTGGTGGCGTGATGGTGACCCATTGGGCTGCTAACTGCAAGGTCAGCAGTTCAAAACCACCGGCCACTGCAAGGGAGAAAGAGGAGGCTTCCTACTCCCACAAAGAGCTACAGTCTCAGAATCCACAGGGGCAGTTCTACCCTGTCCTACAGGGTCGCTGTGGGTCAGCACTGACTCCGTGGCAGTGAGTTCAGCTTGTTGTTTGTTTCTCTTTAACCGCTCCTAAGGAGTCCTGATGGCATGCAGTTAAGCACTTAACCAAAAGGTGGGTGGTTTGAGCCCACCCAGGGGATCCACAGGAAAAGATCTGACCATCTATCTGAGTAGGAAACCCACTGGGGCATTGTACTGTTGTCATAGAGAGTCACCAGGAGTCAGAACCGGCCCACCGGTACCTAACAATAACAACCTGCCCACGGCGGGGCCTCCACTGTCCCCCCTAGAAGATGCTTAGAGCACCCTTCCCCCCACTGCTGCCCAGCTCCACACCCATGCCCAGCCCCTGCCCACTGTTGCAAACCGAGGAATGCCTCCATTGGCGAGTAGAAGCACACCACCGCTCCCAGCCCGCCCCAGTGTGAGCATGCTAGGGACGTGCCCTCACCCTCAAGAGTCTGTGAGCAACTTCTGCCAACCCACTGGCTAGAGAAAAAAGCCAGAGGGAGTTCTTTTCCCAAAACCCTCTCCCACTACATTCAAGGTGCTCCTGGAGGCCCAGCAGCACTCCAGTGGGACTTGAGGTGAGCCTGCTGCATCCGGTGTCAGCTAAGACAAGAGATGGTGGGTGAGCCGAGGACGTCGGGCAAGTAGAAAGGTGTATTTGAAACCAGAAAAGACGGCTGGACCTATTTGGATTGAGGGGCCAGTCTTCCCAAACGGGCGCTCCGTTTGGAGAGTTAGGGAAAGGCAGGGCTAGGCTGTAATCACATTAAATTCAGGCATGGGGGGACTGTTTATTTGGCTTCTGAGGTCCACAGCGGGCCCCGGGCGACTCTGCATTCCTCTTTAACCTCAAAGCCTTGCTGACTCCTTGGGCAGCATTCAGGGGGTGACCCGCAGCCCCACAAAGCTCTGGCTCTAGGAGACATTTTCCTCCCCGCGCCGGGCGCTCTCTCTCTCTCAAATTTCTTGTCACTTTCTCCATTTGAACATTGCCAGGAGATGCTTGAGGTTCAAGACCCCCGCGCTTCCCCAGGCTTCCTCCTCTGAGCAAGTAAGCTGAGCCGCTGGGGTGGGTTATTGGCTGCCCTCTGCTGTCCCCTGCTGGCCACAGATGGGAAAGGAGCAGGCCCGACTACAAGGACACTCAAGGGCATTCAAGGGTCCGGGGAGCGGAAGTACAGGCTGGGGCCATGGTTAAGTGGAGGAGCTGAGGAAGCTAGCAGAGCCCCCTCACTAGTCTTAATTCCGCTCCCCAGAGGTGCAAGTCGGTGGGACTCCAGTCCTGGAAAATGCCAGCGAGTCCCCCCACCCCTAGCACACCCCTCCCACTTTCTTAGTGCAGAAGTGTCTGTCTAAGCAGTTTCTCAGCGTCTGTGGGGCCCAGCGATGAAAGCGGGCCCCTGATCGGAGCTCCTCCCCGCCTCCCGCCCTCGCCCCTCTTGTCTCCTCAGAGTTTTCCATCAGCAGCTTCTGCACGGTGGTGGACG